TGGTCCATGATTTCTATTTAATTTCAATATTGTGCAAGTTCTATATTGACACTGTAGCAACCTTAAGTTGCTGAATAGATGCCGGTTTCGAAAAAAAAAGAAAGTTCTGATATGTAAATATAAGACATTTTATATTGTCTTATATTGTGTAAATGAATTTTAAGAGAAAATTGTATAATGAATTTTAAGAAAACAGAGTGTAAAAAAATTTTGTAACTTTAAACAGACTGCTGTGTGGAGGTTTTCCTAACACACTGAATTTAAGAAATACTCATCTTTCATTTCAATTATAGGGTGAAGAATCATAAAATTTTACTAAAATGATCTGAACACGACAAGGAGATATATCCACTTAAACCTGCTGGTTCAATATTTTGATAGACTTGACAAGTAAATTCAAACAAATAAGCTAAGCAGGGTCGGGCCTGGTTAGTACTTGGATAGGAGACCACCTAGGAAGACCAGGTGCTGTAGGCGTAAAAAAAAAAAAGAAAGAAAACAACTGATTTGATCATTTATTTTAGTGTACTGACTCAACTTTTTGGTCATGATGGAATTGCTATCTTCACCATACCACTATTTTTAGCTAGCATTTCTTGAGCTTACACTGAACTGTACTAAGCATTTATCATGTATTAACCCATTTAATCCTTAAAACTACTCTGAGATAGGAACTACACCCTCCTAAATCCTCCCTCACCCCACCACCCCCTCACGCCAAATTTTACAAATAAAACAGGCACGGAGAGTTTAAACAACCTGCCAGAGAGCACACAGCTGGCAATGACAGAGCTGGGATTTGTAGAGAAGCTCACTGCTCCCAACACACACACTATACTACCTCTGCTGTAATAATGGATATCCTTTTATTACTCTAGTAATAAAAACAACATCAAAATTAAATTTAGAGCCATAGAGTATACTAAATTGGCTATATCAAAATCCACATCTTAAAAGAAACAAATTTGAAAGAATAACTTGTCCGTCAGTACACTTACAGACTTCCAAGATTGCTCATTTGCACCAATTTCCTGAATCCTCTCTTTCACAGCTTCCTCCGTGGCTGGTATGGGGACAACGCTGTTGCTCAGAAGAATAGCCAACTGACCGAGGAATTTCTGATAGTGAGATTGTGCAGTTTTAGTTTCCCAGCCAAATGAATATGGAGGTCTGTCTAACTCATATTTTTGTTTTTCCTTATGGATTAAATCTTGTTGACATTTATCCCAAATTTTCTGCCCATCTTTTGGTCCTTCAGAGTGAAAAAAGTTGTCTCTCTCAAAGTTCTTGGCCAGGATAGCTTCACCTTTATCCTGAATATGCCAATACACATGTTAAACTTACAATTTCCCTTCTTTTGAAATATAAACACAGTCATAATATAAAACTTCAGGAAAGAGACCCTTGAAAGAAAATAAGAGTTATAAGAGTCATAAGAGAAGCAAGGGCATACTAGAAATTGCAAACTAGAACATCAAAAAGTATTGAAATAGTGGTATAGAGAAATTGTTTTGAGAACATAGAAAATGTGGCTTAGAGAAGCAGCTAACTAAATAGCCCCAGTTTATGAGGGTAAACTCTTTACAGAAAATTTTGAGCTAATAAATGTAGAAGGAATAATGGAAATTTAAAAATCAGCAAGTTGCATCTCCTATAAAATAACTGACTTAAGCAAGGATCATCAAAAAAATGCTAAGGTAATTAAATGAAAAGTTAGCAGAGAAATGGATATTTTCATAAAAACTTAGTTATGGTTATAGAATATCACTTAACAACTTTGAGAATGTAAAAGTGTGAAGGAAAGAAATCACGTTTCTTTCCCCCAACCTTTCCCTTATACTCCTGTAATCAATCTGCTTCCATTGTAAATAGGAGAAAATAAAAAATACTGCTTGTAATTCTCTTTCCCCTTACCTCCTGTAGGAAGATTCTACCTTTATAAATCTTAGCCTTCTTTCCACCTTCTTGCCACATTAGAGTCTGGGAGCTGAGTAAACAAGTTTAGTTTCTGGGCTTTTTGTCATACAAAACTGGGAAATAAGGGGAGAGCTAGAATTGTTGAAGTAATGATGTTTGTATCACTAAAAGCCTAGAAAAAAAGGGGGCTGAATAAGAGCAATGGAAGAAAAAGTCAGAGTGGCAAGGACTCTAGTTTAGGAGGGTTTTCAGAGATATGGCAGATCAGTCAGAGAAAGTGAAAAAAATGGAAAATGTTATAGTGAATTGAGAGAGGCAATTAAAAATTGAAATTACTTTAAAATATTTTAAAAGCAGTCCTGAAGTTTTAAAAATGGAACCCCTCACATTAATTGGATCATGATAGACCTCGTTTTATATTCAGACTATATAATAAACTGTTATAAGTCTAAGGATTTGAAAATACTTCCAATTCTTTGACGATTGTCTGCCTCCCATCCTCCTCCAACATTCTTCTATAAAATCTTCTGCTAATCCTATAAATTGCTATCCACTCGTGTCCAGGTTCATTTCTTCCTTCTAAACCCAACTTATGCTGTAATTCTCAATTTCAGTGTCTAATGTAGGTGATCCAAGCAAGTTAGCTTTGCAATTCCTTGCCTCAGTTTCAAATAACTTTTACCTACACCCCTCTTCAACCCTTACACCCAGATCCAAAAACGCAGATTTTGTTAGCAACAGGAAATAACCCATATCATAAATTAAAAACTTCAATATTTTACTTTCCAAGCACCACCTCTCCTCCCAGCTCTCTCTAATCTTTTTTTTTTAATTTTTTTTTTCAGAACTGCAGATCCTCCTTGCACTTTCTCTCCTTACCTCAGAAAGGCTTCCTTCCAGTCAACGATGAGGTACTGCTGCTGCCTTTGACCCTCCGCAAAGAGGATCAACAAACCACTCAATATTTGCCTATTATCTCCTGAAGTAACACAAGGGTAAAAATTCTGTTCCTTCAAAAATCAATTTAAATTTATTCTCACCCTCATCATGAAATTATCTGAAGTATCTTCTTGTCCTTTCATATTCATATAAGGGGTGAATCCATTAGCATCTGCTAACTTTTTCTCCAAAAGGTCTGCTTTTCGCTCTGCCTTTTCTCTTTCAATCAGATGTACTCTGTGTAAGATATCAGTAGGTAACAATATCATGAAACCAACTCAATTTTAAAACTTCAATTAAAAATGATGAAAATATTCCCCATTTAAAATCTATTAAATATGTATATCAAGTAAAAATGTATTTTTTTTTTCTTATGAAAAGAGCTGTGCAGTTACCCAACTATTTCTAAGGAGAGACTAGAAATGGCAGAGGAATGAAGAGAAAAACAATTCAGGGTTAAGTCTTGAAGTAGTTACCCTTGGGGAGGGCAATTATGAAATCATCCTTTTTAATGGGAAATTTGAGTATGAATATTTGCCTGCCACTGCTGGTAATAGTGTGATGATCGGGAGGTTTCACAGAAACACAAGTACCCGGTTTTTAATGACATTGTAATGGGCTCTTCTACTGGGATTTGATGAGGGAAAAAGGAACTAGAAATAATGATACAGCAATAGAGAATACCATATGTAAAAACTTGACTTATTATCAAATATACAAATAGCTAATTATTTGGTTCTCATTTTGATGACCAATTGCTAGGTATTGGTAGTATTTTCTACCCTGTAGCTACGTTAAGGTTTCAGTCCATCTTCCATGATTTTTATGTCCTTTTCTGTCTAAGAACTGCACCCTACAGAATTAATGAATTTGAGTTAGGTCAAAAGAAATTATCAGAAAAATATATAAATATAATTACCTGTATTATCTAAGGAAAAATATTTTAATTCAAAAAATTGTATTAGAGACATGTAGGACAAACTCAACAAGTCTAACATACCTGTAATTGTAGCCTTAGAATGAGTGTAGAGACAGAATAGTACAGAAACAATATTTGAAAAAACAATTCCCAAGAATTTTCCAAACCTGATGAAAGACATCAGTTGATAGATTCAATAAGTTTTGCAAATCCTAAGCAGGACAGATACTAAGAAAGCCACACCAAGATACATCATAGTCAAACAGCTACCAATTAAAAGCAGTCAGAGAAAAAGTACACATTACCTTCAAAGTTACAATAAGACTCATGACTCAGTTTTCAACAGAAACTATAGAAGATAATCAAATGATGTCTTTGAGTGATGAAAGAAAAATTACTGACATCCCAGAATTCTGTATGCAGTAAAAAAAATCCTTCAAAAAATGAAAATGAAATAGTTTCAGAAGGAAAAAAATGGAAAAATTGTCAGAAGAACTGCATTATAAGAAATAGTACAGGCAATTTCTCAGGATGAACGAAAACGATCCCTGGTGACTGCACAGAATTGTAGGAAGGAATGAAATGCACCAGAAAGGGTAGGTGTGTGGGTAAATAGAAATTTATACTGACAGTTAACAAAAACAATAATAATATATTATGGGATTTGTAAAATTTGAAAAGATAAAATATGTCATAACAATAGCAAAGAGCATGAGATGGCTAAATAAAGTTAAACTGTTATACAGTTTCTATTTTGGGATATCATAAAAGTATAAATCTAAAATAGAATAATAAATATACATTTTATAATCATAAACTCTAGTAAAAACTAAATGACAGTTCAAAAGATAAGAGAGGAGACAAATGGAATAATAAAAAACTGGATTAATCCAAAAGAAAATGGTGAAGGAGTAATAAAAGAACAGAGAACAGATGGGAAAAACAAACAATAAATAACAATGTGGTAGACTTAAATCCAACAATTAAGACAAGAGTATCAGATTGGGTTAAAAATACAACTAATGCTAAGCATTTTGCAAGATGTAGACTTTATATATAAGGACACACAAACATGTAAATGAAAAAATGGAAAATACTATACCATGAGAACAGTATAATGGTATAGCTAAGTTAATACCAAAGTAGACTTTAACACAAGAAGTATATAAAAGATAAAGAAGAATATTTCATAATAATAAAAGTGAAAATTCAACAGAAAGATATAAATCCTAAATAAGAATGCAAATAGTTTCAAAATATATAAAGCAAAAGTAAACAGAAGTAAAAGTGAGAGACACAAATCTGCAATCATAATTGATTAATATAGTTAATTAATATAACAAAATAGAATTGATTATTATAAATAATCATATTTTAGCATACTTTTTTCAGTAACCAATAGAACAAAAGCAAAAAGTGCTGGGCCTTTTGCTCCTAACTGTACTAACTGCAAAGAGAAAACAGCTAAAGGGGCTGGAAGCCAGATATGGTCTAAGAACAATCCTTTTCCAGAGTCTGCTCCAGAGTTCACTCCATAAGAGCTGCTTCTAGTACTTCTTTTCCCCTTCAACATTAACAAATTGATGGGGCGGTGGGCGGGGCGCGGTAAGGGAATGTATGGTATGCCATACAGCCACCTTTCCTGTTGGCACCAAGGACAAAACAAAAGCAAAAAGTCCAGAGTGACTCACTCTGCGGCTATATTCAAAATTGCGTTGAAGGGTTTGCAGTGATTGGTCAGCCGTTTAGGGGTCAAACTAGAGACCAACTTCAGGTGGTACCTTACCACTGAGAAGATATTTACTTGGATAATGAATTATTTTTAATCAGTTCTTCACTTCAACTTTGTCAGTTTTCTTTTTTCAGACATTGCAAACCAGAAAAAAAGAAATTCCACTCTTCTTCGTGGCCTTAAATTTTAACTAATTTCTCAGTCTGAATAGAGGTTTATTTCCTTACTTAGTTTCAAGCTTCTTCATATTTTCTTTTTTAAAGTGATCTGAGAAATGCAAGACCTAGAAGAAACTTCAACCTATCAGGTGAGCCAATATATGCTAACCAATATAGAATATAAGCAGTTTACACCAGTATTCGTATCTGAATACAATGGCTTTTCATATTGTGTAGGTTTCTTAAATATTACCAATATGAACCAAGAGCACGTGATCAAATATCTCCTCTCTATATACACAAACTAAGTAACCACAAGTCTAAGAATAACAAATGGTATAAAGGCTGAAACCACACAATCATCCCAGTAGATGAAGAAAAATCATTTGACAAAAATCTAACACACTTTCATGATATAAACTCTCAACAAACTAGAAATAGAAGGCAATTTCCTCAATCTGATAAAGAATATCTATAAAAGATTCGTAGCTAACATCACTCTTAATGGTGAAAGACTGAAAGCTTTTCCCCTGAGATCAAGAACAAAACAAGGATGTCTGTTTCTCACCATTTACATTCAACATTGTATGGAAGGTTTGAACCAAGGCAATTAGGCAATAAAAATAAATTAAAAGCATCCAGACTAGAGAGGAAGAAGTAAATCTCTTTGCAGATGACATGGTCATATATAGATAAAACCCTAAGGAATCTACAAGAAAACTGTTAGAGCTAATAAACAAGTATAGCAATGTCTCAGGATACAAGATTGATATATGGAAGTCAATTATATTTCTATTTCCTCAAAATGATCAATTTGCAATGACATTTTAAAAAGTTCCATTTCTAATGCATAGAAAGAATAATATATTTATAAATAAATTTAACAAAAGAAATGTAAAACATGTACACTGAAAATGACAAAATATTTTTGTAATGAAAGAGGATCTAAGTAATAAAAAGATGCCCCACGTTCATGGACTGGAAGATTTAATGTTAAGATGGCAATGCTCCCCAAATTGATCTAGAAATACAACAAATTGCTATCAAAATCCCAGTTGACTTTTTTTTACAGAAATTTACAAGCAAATCTTAAAATTCATGTGGAAAAGCAAGGGACCCAGCATAGCTAAAATAATATTGAAAAAATTGGAGGACTCACACTTCAAAACTTAATACAAAGCTACAGTATTTAGGACAGTATGGTACTGGCATAGTATAGACATATAGACCAATAGAATAGAAATGAGAATCCAGTCAATTGATTTTTTTTTGAAAAATTGTCAAGACAACTCAACAGGAGAAAGATAGTCTTTTCAACAAGTGATGCTGAGACAGCTAGTGGATCTTTACATGAAAAAGAATAAATCTGGATTTCTAACTCACAACATATACAAAAAAATAGTCAAAATAAACCAAAGACATAAATTTAAGTGCTAAAACTGTAACTCTTAAAAGGATAAATACATGTAAATCTTCACAACCCTGGAGTAGGGAGTGGTTTCTCAGATATGACATCAACAAAACAATGAAAAAAACTATAAACTTCATCAAAATTTAAAAATTTGGGGCCTTTTGAGCCATACTTCTCTTGCTCATGCTCACTTCCATGTCTGGAAGTGTACTTTCTTTTCTAATAAAGCTTTTCTTTTCTACTGTATTTTGAAAAAAATAAAATAAAATAAATAAAATAAATAAAAATTGTGTACTTCAAAGAAAACCAATAAGAAAATAAAAAGACAACCTAAAGATGGGAGAAAGCATTCACAAATCATGTATCTGATAAGGGTCTAGTATCCAGAATGTATAACGAACACTTATAACTCAATAGTAAAGACAATAACCCAATTTAAAAATGGGCAAAGGATCTGAATAGATATTTCTACAAAGAAAATATACAAATGGCCAATAAGCACATGAAAAGATGTTCAACATGTTTGGTTATTATGAAAGTGCAAAGTGAAATCACAATGAAATATGATTTCGTATTCACTAGAATGGCTATAATGAAAAAGATGGACAATAACATGTGTTGGTGAAAATGTGGAGAAATTGGAATCCTCACACATTGCAGGTAGGAATGTAAAATGGTGCAGCTGCCTTGGAAAGCAGCCTGGAAGTTTATCAAAGTAATCTCAAAAGGTTAAATATAGAATTACTTTATGACCCAGCAATTCTACTCCTAAGGCATATACCTAAGAGAAATAAAACATATAGTCATATAAAAACTCATACAAAAAATATTCATAGCATTATTCATAAAGTACTCCCCCCAAAAATGAACAACCCAATATCCATCAACTGATGAACAGATAAATGAAATGTAGTATAGCTATATAATGGAATAATATTAAGCCATAAAAGAGATGAAGTACCAATTTATGCTACAACATGAATTAATCTTGAAAACATTGTGCTAAGTGAAAGAAGTCAGACACAGAGGCCATATATTATATAACTGCATTCATATGAAATGTCCAGAAAAAAATAAGTCCATATAGAAAAAAAGTAGATTGGTAGTTGTCAGAGATAGGAGAGAGTGGAATAGGGATTAACTGTTAATGGGCATGGTTTCTTTAGGGGGTGATGAAGATTTTCAGGAATTAGATATTGCTGGTGATTGCACAGATTTGTGAATATATTAAAACTACTGAATTGTATACTTTAAAGGGTGAATTTTAATGGTATGTGAATTATATCTCAATAAAAATGTTCTCTAAAAATATAATAATGTTGAGTCAGGTATTATGAGAAATTCTACCAGATTTAAATTCTGTGATCAATTGGGAATATAGAGTTCATATACTATTTGCAAGCTTATGACAAATGACATGTTTGCAAACAAACTAAAAATTCCCTACCTTAGACGATTTTCTAGTTCTAGAATTCTTTCAGATAGATCCCAGTTGCCTCTTTCAAGACTCTGAATATTGGTACTTTTCAAAGATTTAATTCTGGTTAGAGAAGCAATAAGTTCCTCTAGGTCTTTGATATCATCTTTCAGGGACATTATCTGGAATGACTGTTGCATGTTATTTTCTTTGTAACTTTCTAGCTCACTCTTCATTTCTTGCAATGAAGTTTCTTTTATGAAAAGTTTGTTTTGAAGATTTCTTAGCTAGTGAGAAATGGAAAGTGTTATTTAAAATCATTTATAATTTTGGTTTTAGAAAATTCATGATTCTAAATCATTATGGATATTTAAATTACATATTATTGTACAATAAAACGAAGGCTTTCAAATCTTCTAACAGTATAGTCTAAGGTTAAATACATTTAAGAAATCATACCATATTGACACATATGGTTTGGAATAAGTGATTTTACTCTCATCAACATTATTTACATCTTGCTACAAGAGTAAATTATACCAATAATGATTTCTATATTTCCTAGCAGAAAAGAAATACTTAATGCTTTGGCCATAGGTGTTTTATGATGTACTGTAAAGGGGAGTGTGTGCACAGGTAAGGAGCAGCCTACGTTTCTATCATTGGTTCCTGGCCTTACTTGTGCTGATCAGAGAAATGTGTGAATAGGAGAGTCAGGAGGAAGATCAAAGCTTAAATTGATTAAATACATACATATTTTTCAAGGCAAATAAAGGAAAGAAGAGGTCATAAAATGATCAAGAGAAGCAAGAGTGATATCTTGTGAGAGGGGAAGCAAAACAGGAGAGCCACCACAGGCTGCTAGCAGAAGGAAGGAACCAAAAATGATTGGAGAGGAAGGAGGTGCAGCTGCCGTGAGGGATGTGTGTTTTTTTTTTAGTTTTGGGTAGCATTTATTTGTAATAGCCAAAAAAAATTGGAAGCAACCCAGATATATGTCAGCAAGTGAATGGTTAAACAAACTGTGGTACATATACCATGGATTCAGTAATAAAAAAGACCAAACTGTTAATACGTACAACTTGAATAAATCTCCAGGAAATTATGCTGAGTGAAAAAGCCAGTCCCAAAAGGATACATATATATGATTCTATTTATAAAGCATTTTAAAAACAGCTTTATTGAGATATAAGTAATAAATTCACCCATTTAAACTATACAGTCGCATGGTTTTTAGTATATTCATAGAGTTGTACAGCAATATTGAGATATAATTCACATACCATAAAATTTACCCTTTAAAGCAAACAATTCAGTAGTGTTTAGTATATTCACAGGTTGTACAACCATTATCATGATCTAATTCCAGAACAATTTCATTATCCCTTAAAGATACCTTATACCCATTAGTAGTCACTCCTCATTTCCTCCATCCCTCCCAGCTCCTGGCAACCACTAATCTACTCTGTCTCTGTGGATTTGCCTACTCTAGACATTTCATATGAATGAAATCATACAATATGTTGCTTCTTGTAATTGGTTTATTTTTACTTAGCATAACGTTTTCTAGGTTCATCCACGTTATAGCATGATTCAGTACTTCATTCCTTTTTATGGCTGAATAAAGTTCTACTGTGTGGATATACCACATTTGTTAGCCACTCATTAGCTGGACACTTGGGTTGTATTCATTTTGGGGCTTTATAAATAATGCTACTATGAACATTCATTTACAAGTTTTTATGTAAATATATATTTCAATTCTCTTGTGTATCTACCTAAGAATGGGATTGCTGGGTCATATGGCAACACTGTGTTTAGCTTTTTGAGTACATAAAATTTTGAAATGACAACATTTAGGAACGGAGTTGAGATTAGTGATTGCCAGGTGCTAAGGGTGGAAAGGAAGTACGTATGGATATAAAACGGCAATGGGAAAGATCTTAGTGGTATTGAAACTAACTGTTCAATATCTTGAGTGATTGTTTAGAACTTAATACACACAAACACACAAAGAAGCACCAAGAAAACTAGGAAAATCTGAATAAGACTGGTGAATTGTATCACATCAATGTTAATATTCAGGCTGTTATATTATACTATAGTTTTGCAACATTAGACTATTGGAAGAAACTGAGCAAAGTGTACAATGGATCTATTATTTCTTAAAACCACAAGTGAATCTATAATCATCTCAATTAAAATTAAGAATAACTGGTTCTGATATTTTTCTTTAGCTGCAAAATATATATTGTCTGGGTTAACCAACTCCAAAGCTGGCCACATCTACCAGATTTCTACTATTTGCCTCATTACTGTGCTAAGGGGAAAAAAAAAATCTTATCTGCATAGATACAGTCATATTGTTCTCACAAACAAAAGTCATCATGAAAAATCAAATTTAAAAGTACTGACAAACACATTAAATTTATCTTAAATTTAAGATGCTAGGCCTTTTTATAAATATTATCAGTAATATTTTTTATAAGTTGTTTAATTCACTTATTATAACAGTAGCCCATTTAGCAGTATGCAGCTTTTAGCTAAATATCATATTGCCTAAACTAGACAACATAATCACCAACCAAATACTTGAATATTATCCCTTCTATATCTAGCTTTTCTTAAATATAGCTCTTTTGCACCCGTTTCTCCATTATTGGGCAGAAACATATGATAATTATTTTTGTATGTCCCACAAAGAGATAAAGTTAATTATAACAACAAAAAATAAATAAAATGCATGCAGTGAAGAGAAAAACTGTCTCATCAAGACAATTGTGTTCCTGTGAGATCAAATAATAGGTATTGGAAAAGAGAAAGATGACTCATGCTGAATGTAATCTGTTGAATCACAATTAAAAAAAAATAACTTTAACACAGGGAAATCATGTAGTAACTGTCACTAATTTTTATTAAATTCAGAAAATGCCACTACAAGCTATAGAATACTTTTAAATATATGTGATATCTAAAATCAAGTCAAAATGAGACTTTTGTAGAGTCTTTTAGTTATCTGCTTTGACAAATAGATTAAAAATATAGTTACCAAATGATTTATGTACATGTATAAAACTGCTTTAAAAAAGTACTTTGAAATTCTTGAAAAAAAGTATATTTGCTTTAAACAAGGTTTAAATCCTGTGATCTTTTTTGACAAATTGGTTTAAAAGGTTTTTTATGAATTAGACATAGAAGTAAACCTTAATCTTATTCAAATTCTAAATTGTTAAAAATCCCAAACTTCTTAAGTATTAGTAGTAAATTATACTGTGGGGAAAGAACAACAATGCTACCCATAGTAAAATTTCTACAATTTTCAGGGATTAGTACCCTATTTTTCTGAAAAAAAGGACAAATTAAAAAATCACCACAATGTTATAAGATTTATTGTATCTACGTAAATTTAACCATTTAAATTTACCTCTCTTCACCCATCTATGCTAAAAAAGGGGAAAATATGAGCATAAATAAAATGAAAATATATATACATTTACCCATATATCTATATCAATATTTATATCTGTTTATATGAAAGTTGGAGTCAGGCTATTGACAGATGAGATAGTAGAAAAGAACCTTAATGAGGTCCTGGGCAGAAAAGAGGCCCCAAGGAATAAGGCCACTGTTATGAGTTGCGCCCCCTCAAAATTCACATGTTCAAGTTCTAACCCTGGTACTTCAAAATGTGACTGTATTTGATGATAGGGTCTTTAAAAAGATAATTAAGTTAAAATGAGATCTTTAGGGTGGGTACTAATCCAATATGATCCATGTTCTTAGAGAAGAGGAAATCTGGACACAGTTACAGAAGGAAGACCATGTGAGAGCACAGAGAACAGATGGCCACCTACAAGCTAAGGAAAGAGGCCTCAGAAGAAATCAACATTTTCACCACACACACACACACACACACACACACACACACACACACACACACACACACAGTAAATATGTGAGGTGACATGACAGAGGTATTAATTAACCTTATTGTGGAAATCATTTTGTAATATATACATATATTGAATAATCACAGTATATATACCTCAAATTTGCACAATGTTATATGTTGATTATGTGGCAATAAAGCTAGAAAAACAACATAAGAAAGAAGAAACCAAATCTGCTGAATTCTTGTCTCAGAATTCTAGCCTTGAGAACTGTGAGTAAATAAACTTTTGTTTTTTAAGCCCCCTAGTCTGTGGTACTTTGTTATAGCAGCCCTAGCAAACTAATATATCCCATAAATAGTTACTTATTCGAAGGGATTGTCAGTGTCCCAGAATGTAAGCATTTGGAACATTTTACTTGAAGGTAACCACAGAGGCAGTACAGACATAAACAGCCATATCATAGTACCTTTAATAATGACAATGGCCTTGGGATTCCAACCATAGTTATCTATAAGACTATCTCCTGCAACAAATATCCTGATGTACTTGGACTCAAGTAAAAAATCCTACAATCACTCTCTAGTTCATCATAGGGAATAAAAGTCAAAGCATTTCCTATAAATGTGGTTTCTTTATTTTTCATCTGTTGATATTACTCAGATGTTTTGTCAAGTTTTAAATAAGAATAATGGATATTTGCTATTTGGTGCCATATTGAAAATAGAAACTCATCTTTTCCATTAAAAATGTTTAATACATGTAATTATTATTATTACATTAATTTTGAGCATGGCAGTTTATAACCAATGTTCTAAAACCCTAGCACTTGGCAGTCAACTCAAAAGCACTTAACTATGCACCATCTTCAAAGGGACTTCTCTAGCAAAAGTCAGATTTGGGTCTAAATTAGTGTTCCTCAGGGATAAGAGAATTTAATATTGAGAAAAAAGCAAAACTGAGTTGATGAAATATTTTGAAGCCCTTATCAGAATTTTTTTCTCCCTACTTTTACAGAAGATACAATTTCCCATAGTGTTTTATTTTCAGATAATCCATGTACCTCAGCTAAAAGATTCTTGTTTTTCACCAACAAACCAGCAAAGTCAGGATGGACTGGATCAGCTGTCTTTTTATTGTACATGATTGGGTTCCTGGTGGAAACCACTTCAAGAAGTGAATCAAAACAAGCCTACAAAGAGAAATTGCAAATTAACTGAACGTATACTCTACAGAGCAAAACCCACAATGTTCTAGCCCACCACAAACTCAAATAAGTAGCTCTAAATAGAATACAACTTTTAAAATATTCATTTTGAGGTGCTATCCTAACAAATGCAATAGGTCTCAGGAAAATAGCAAGTAATATGTGGACCTAAAAGGCTACTTTACATTTTTCTAATAATTCTTACCTGATAACTTATTTATAACACCAGCCATAAGTAAATGCAGAAATCTAAGTAGACAATTTCTGAGAGTATAGAAATCAAGAAGATACAAATAAAATGTTTAGGGAAATTTTAATTCACATCTAATAAAAGCTTTATAAAAACTCGAACTATTGGAAGGCCACTGATGAAAGATTTACCACTATTGTTTTATTTTTGTTTACAAAATAATGTCTACGTATTATTATCAAAAAAAGTTGATTTTTAAAAAACTTGATTTCAGTAAATCAACATCAATTTTGTTTCTTCCACACCTATATTGAGGGTAAAAATTAAAGGAGTATTTACCTGTATTACAATATTTCCCTCTATTGTCAAGAAGGTGTGCAATGTTCTAAATTGTAATTAGTATAACTTTTGGTAAGAACAAAGCTTATATGATTCAAATGAAACCAAGAAAAATGTATTAACTTAAATCTCTAAAAAGCGTATGAATGTATCACATGGTGCTTTTTTCTAAAGTTATCAGGTTTTAGAATGTTATGCCTACTAAGGAACAAAGACTTGCACAAGAGCATACAAAATAACTGTTTAAATACTTAAAGAAATAAAAAGAACTTTGAAAATATGAGTAAATCGCAAGAGACCACAAAGAATAAATATATTGGAAAAACAATCAAATAAGACTTTTAGAAATGAAAAGTGTAATAACTTTAATTTGAAAATTGAACGGACCCATTAAAAGCAGATTAGACCTACCTGAAGAATGAGTGGATTTAAAGATAAGTATGAAGGAATTATCAAGAGGACAACTGTAGAAAAAAATACATGGTAAATGTTCAAGAGAGTTTAAGGACACAGAGAATAAAATAAAAAGTCTATCACATGTCTAATTGGAGTCCAAGAAAGCCATAATTTAAAGAATGGAGTGGAGGCAAAATTGAAGAAATAATGTCTGAGAATTTTACAGAATTGTTAAAAGATACCAATCTAAGTGGTCTAGCAAATCCCAAAAAGAATAAAAAGAATTCTTTATCTACACACTCATAGTGAAACTGCAGAACATTAAAAAAAAATATCTATGAAGCAGACAATACAAAGGACAGATAATTACATAGAAGTAGCATGGACTGGTGAGTGATTTCTCAATAGTAACAAAGAAGCTAGAAAACAGCAGAATGATATCTGTAATGTAACAAAAAAAATAGATCATATATCATTGATTCTGAGAGGCACAAATTTTCACATCTCTGAAATTGGAATGCATCTCAAAGTTGATGTATATTGTGGATAGTTTAACACAGTTTTAAATTTCATAATGGTGCATAAAATAGTACTGTTTCTTCAAATCAGGAAATATGGTAACTGTCAAAGAGAATTTTGTACTGAAAGACATGTTTTAAGATTAAGAGTAGAATAAAGACATTTTAGACAAACAAAAATTGAATTTACTACCATTAGGCCCTCATTTAAGAAAATTCTAAAAGATAAATTTCTCATAGAAAATGAACTTAAAAAGTTTGAAATACAAGAATAGGCAACAAAAATTAATCGCAAATGTGGGTATATTAACTAAGCACTAATTTTAAGAATCTGATTTATAAAGTTAAAAATAAAGAATAGAGCCAAAATAAAGAACAGGACCAAAAAAAATACATATACACTAAAGGGAGAAAAACACCTTATAGCACTTTAAAATCTTCAGATTTCTCATAACAAAGAGTTCAGTTAGCTTAGTTAAGAATAATGTTAAAATCACTAATATAACCACTAAAGCAATAGCCATATAGCATATAACTTCTAAACCAGCAGAAAAAGAAAACAATGGAATGAGAAAAAAGAAAACAAGTACAACACAACGAACCAAAAACATAATCAGTTCTTGGCATGAGAGGAGGGAAAAGGAAGCAAGAAAAAATGGGACAAACAGAATACATATAATGTGATAGTAGAAATATAGTCAAATAATCGGTAATGTCAATAAATATAAATGGACTAACTTTTCTAGTTAAAAGCAAGAATTATTATTATTATTTGAAAAAGAAAAACTAAACACATGATATGATACATTCATAGAACAGTACAAAATAATGGAAATTATTAACAACTGTATATATATCAATACAAATCTAAGTAAAAGCAGCAAATCATAAAAGAATAAAAACAGTATAATTCCATTCATAAAACTTTTAAAACAAAATTAATATCGATTAGGGATACATATATGGGTGATATAACTAGGAAGAGAAGGAAGAGACTGACACAATTCAAAATACCTACTATTTTGAAGTTTAGTGGAAAAGGATTTAGTCAGGAAAGGGGACACAGGAAACTTGTAAGGTACTGGCAGTGTTCCATGAAACTAAGTGGTAGGTTCATAGGTATTTATTAACTAACCTGTGTGTATACATTTGATAGTTCTTTTCTATTTAGGACATTTTAAAAGATCATACATAAAACAAAAGTATATATTTTTAAAAGATGCATTCAAACAGATTGAGATGAGATATAACGGAAGCGATGGGGAAAAAATAGAGGGGCCTTGCACAAAAAGATGATCACGTACTATGAACTAAGTATGATTAACTTGAGTATGCATGAGATCTAAAACAAAAAAGTAAACTGATTAAAGTGTGATAAATGTCTTATTTAGTATATTACAATATTGCCAAGATTATAAACATCAATAATAAAAAGAAAAAATAATTATTATATCTAATTAGGCTTGTAATTTATAACAATAAGAAAAATTCAACATAAATTTATTTTTCTAGATAAGTTCTTTTAAATACAGCTTGAAAATTTTTCTGGTTTTATAGTTTAGAATATATGGATAAAGACTCATGCTGTATAAGCTTGTATATATAAGAAGCTTATATATATAAGAAAAAATTAAAATGTATAAAACTGTAAAGCTAAAATGATAAAAAATGTATAAAAACTGTGACATATTAATATAACTTGTAATGAAATTCTATGCAGCAGTTAACATGCACAGACTAAATTTTCGTGAATCAAAAAGAACTCTCACTGATATCGCAGAAATATAAAGGATCATATAAGAATGCTATGAAAGTCTACAGCCATGCTACCCTGAACAAGCCTGATCTCGTCTAATCTCGGAAGCTAAGCAGGGTTCGGTTTGGTTAGTACTTCGATGGGAGACCACCTAGGAAGACAGAATGCTATAAGTCTACAGCCATGCTACCCTGAACAAGCCCGATCTTGTCTAATCTCGGAAGCTAAGCAGGGTTGGGTTTGGTTAGTACTTCGATGAGAGACCACCTAGGAAGACCAGGTACTATAGGTGTAAAAAATATATAAAGGATTGTAAGCTGACAAGGTCCTTGCAGTCTGTGAGGTCAACCAAGGGTTGCCTCACCTAAAAAATTAAAAAAAAAAAAAAAAAAAAAAATTCCAAATTCTCCCTATAGTATTTCTCCATAAAAAGAAATGAATGCCTTTTTACCATCTGATATAAATAATTCAAAAATGAACTGTCTAAACAAGCAGCATTGTCTACGGCCATGCCACCCTGAACCTGTCCCGTCTCGTCTGATCTCGGAAGCTAAGCAGGGTCGGGCCCGGTGAGTACCTGGATGGGAGACCACCAAGGAATACCAGGTGCTGTAGGTGTTAAAAAAGAAATGTAAACAAGCAGCACAGTTTATCCTTTGTGGAAGCAAACAACAATACTGAGGAACACGCACCATGTATAACATCTCAAATGTTTAGACATGTTCCATACAATTCTGTTCTCACACAACGTAAAATACATATTACAATACAGTCTTGTCCGAAAAGCCGTATGGACCTGTTTAGTGACCAGATTCCCGGTCTTGAGAGTGCAGCTGTCCAAGGCCGCATCCTCTTCCAACTTTCCACTGACGCATA